GGTACTACTCCTCATTGTAAGCGGATTGTATTGCTAATTTTTGTGAGGCTTAATGACCTCAATATCACTAGGGAGGCTTCCTTGTAGGCGAGCATGAAACGCCATGGCAATTTGGCTCACTTGGTTCTCTAATGCTCTCAAAGATGAGCTATGACTTTATAATAAAGTTGTCTGACTTTGCAACAATATGCCTTGTCTTTTAATTATTGAATAGTGTTCGTGCAGCAAGGCCTTAGTTGAAGTCGTGAAATCTTTTGTCGAGGCCATAAAATCCTGCAGTGAAGCTTCGAGGGAATTAGAATTTGAGAAAGATGTTGAACCCTTGTTAAATATTTTGCCAGGGCATCTGTTGATGCTGAAAATTTGTAGGTTCAGAAATACTTTGTTGTGGAATGTTAAGGTTGAATGCATAGTTGTTGTTGGTCCCTTGATTACCCCACGAAAAATGTGGATGTTGTTGCCATCCAGGATTGTATGTATTAGAGTAGGGGTTGTTGTTGCTTTTATTAAAACTACCCATGAAATTGATGAACTCTCGATTTTCTGGGCATTCACTTTCATGATGGTTGTCGTGGCAAAAACTGCATGCAGAGCTGCATCCAGGATTGTATGTATTAGAGTAGGGGTTGTTGTTGCTTCTATTAAAACTGCCCATGAAATTGATGGACTCTCGATTTTTTGGGCATTAACTTTCATGATGGTTGTCGTGGCAAAAATTGCATGCAGAGCTTGTTACCTTGAATTTTTTCACCTCACTGGAACGCTGCAAATTTTTCAACATATTTGTTATGGCAGAAAGTTGGACAGACGCTGAATCCTTGTCATCAAGTTCAAATGCCCTAAACACTTTCCTTCTAGTTCATAGCCTTGTAGACGAGAATTGATAATCGTTATTGGCTACCTTATCAAGGATATCAAAGGCTTCTTTAGGTGATTTTTCAAACAGAGTACCATTCTCTGAGGCATCCAACATAGACTCTTCATCACCTTGGTAAAATGATGCTATGGCTTTCCTGAGATGGTTATTCATATTTGGTGGATTATTCCATATGTTTGCACAAATCTACCCAAGACCTTATCGAGCCGGAATGTTGTCCATTAAGCCATGCCCTGGCGTGATATTTCAAATAATATGGAAATACCTTTAATTTCAACACACCTTCATGCACACCTTGTTGTCAAAAGGAGTCACAAACCTTCAAAAATGCTCGAACATGTTGCCTTGCATCCTCACGAGGAGCACCACCAAACTGTCCAATCAAGTCCATCATATCGAACATAACCGGTTTGAGCTCGAAGTGGTCTTCTTGAATCTTGGGAGCTACAATAGCATGCTTAAGGTCATCCAATGTGGGAGCTAAGTGATCTCTGATAGTTCGTGGTCATGCAACATTATTTGTATTTTTATTTACCATGATATTTAATTCTTTAGGCTCATCAACTTCATTTTAAACTTCGTATATAGCGTTTTGAGCTCCTTGAACATAACTTATTTGACATAAATTTTTTTCAATCTCAAGTTCAAAATGAGATAATGGTTCCTTGGGACTTCTGCAAGTTATGCAACCACACAACACCAGAAAAGTGCAAAAATAGCGAATAAATCCACAATAATAATAATAATAATAATAATAATAATAATAATAATAAAGAAACAAAATAATGCTATAACAAAACTTTTAAAAACACCAATTGTCAATCCCTCGCAACAGCGCCAAAAACTTGATCTCTTGTAATACACAATCAATGCAAGTAATATAGTAGTGAGTGAGTATCGTGTCCACAGGGATTTGAGGGATTTTAAAAGATTGCTACAGCTATGAATAGGTGTCACTAACTAATCCTAAGTATCTAAGTCTAATGATATAAACAAGGAAAATATGCAATGACAAATGGTATGAACATATCGAGAAAAGTATGGTCGAGACAAGAAAAATATGCAAAGGTAAACAAATAAAAGTTGTCAAAACTCTGTAAATAGATTGGAAACCTTACACAATTAGACTTCTAACGGGGAACATAGGTTGGTTTTGCTATGGGGAGAAGTTATTTCATGCTAAGAATGATTTGGTATGCTATGCTTAGGCTGCCCGATAGGATTACTGAGTATTCTTAGACGGTTGCTATGGAAATACTACTCGGCATGAGCTACAACTCTTGGTTTTTAGACTGTTGTTGCGACAATACCCCTCAGTTTGAATTATAGTCGATGTCTATCCTACTCAAGCATTTATCCCTTTAGTCAATTAAAACCCTCTCCTTATCTCTAAGGTAGACAAGTTAGAACATCACTATCTCGAATCTATTCCATTGTTCACGTAGATCTATCTTAATTCTCCCAAATCTAAGAATCAATATCTAGACAAACATCAATATCTCGAAAGCTCTTACAAGGTCTAGAAATATTTCGCCTAAGCACCAGGCAATCTCTCGAAGCTCTTATAGTGTCAAGGAAAAAGGTTAAAACAATGAACAAAACAACACTTAACAAAAACATACTTAATCATTCATTAATGGTAAAATAAAATATCATCGAAGCATTCCCAACACCAAATAAAACAATTTATGGTGTGGTTAACATCATCCCAAAAATATTCATTAAGTACAAGCCCTTAGAAAATAAAACATGAAGAACAAGAGGAAGAAAAACTCCTAGAACAGAGCTCTGTCATGACATCGGACAACCACATGACTGCTTCAGCGCACCAGCCTCTCTCGAGGGTCTGGTCGCCACCTCGGCGAAGCATGGCTATGGAGGGCACCAAGGACGGACGAGTGGAGACGGTGAGAAAAGGACGCCGCGACCTCTCTTTTCCTAACCTAGGGTATTTTCTATGTATGATTCTGCCCTCTCTGCCTTTCTTTTTGACGGCTATGACTAGGTATTTATAATGGTAATTCTTAGGGGTTCACATCATTAAATGCTCCCTAAATTTCCGTGTTTTCTTTTCTAAGCTATAAATGGAAAGGTTGCTGGCTTTGTCAGAATCTTGGGGGCTTTCTTGCACGTTAGGTCAAACATGCAGCTGGCAGGTGATGTCAGCAATTCATCAGATTCGCATCAGACTTACAAGATTTTCCTTGCCTTGGTATGGAAAATCTGTTCCTCACTGTCTTCGTCTTCTAGCTCTAGCAAATTAATTTGTTTCGGCAAATAAATTTTTCTCAGTCATTTCTTGCATCATCAAAGTCAACAAACAACCTTTCTCATCAGCAGCATCAGTTTAATCAAATAAACTTTGCCTTGGAAAAACTTATCCACCACATGAAAATATATCCTAAATGCAACTATATACAGTTAAAATGCTATATCAATGGCGTTTAGACAATAAATAACTTAAGTAAAAAATATAGTCTTTTTACGGAGTTATCAGTGCTACAATATTCGACTACTTAATGAGTCAAGAATTCTTCGAATGCTACTAAATCAGGTAAAGCTGTATCAGTTTTGTAGAATTCTTCCAAATGCTCATGTGTAAAAATATCAATGACGTCAAGTGAAAAACAATCAACATTGCCATTTATATAAGAAACATTATTCAAAACATTAAAAGTAATATGTTCATCATTCAAGCGCATAGTTAATTCTCCCTTTTCAACATCAATCAAAGCTCAGTCTGTAGCAAGGAATGGGCGGCTGAGAATAATTGGAACATATTTATCCACTTCACAATCCAAAATGGTGAAGATCGTAGGAAAATAAACTTGCCCACTCTCACAAACTTATTCTCCACAATACTGCTAGGATGCACGACAGAGCGATCAATAAGTTACAAAGTAACCGTAGTGGGACTTGCTTTACCACTCCCAAATTTCTTAAAGATTGAAAATGGCATTAGATTTATACTAGCACCCAAATTATATAAAGCTTTACCAACAAATGTGTCACCAATGTTACAAGGAATAGTGAAACTACTTGGATCCTAAAGTTTTGGTGACAGTTGACTTGTAGTCATAATGCTACAACCTTTAGTAAGAGTAATTGTCTCAAACTCACCAAGTCTTCATTTCTTCAAAAGAACTTTCTTCATGAATTTGATATAATTTGGGTTTTTCTCTAAGGCATCAATCAATGGATTATTTATTGTAAGTTGGAGAAGAACATCAATTAAAGCTTTGCATTGTTGATCTTCCTTTGTCTTCTTGAAGCGTTGTGGAAATGGTGAAGGCATTTTTTTATTGTTGTTGCTGAGGAAATGTATTTGATTCTACATTAGATGCAGTAGGGGATATTATCAACAATGATTTTGAATTACTACTCTGCTCTGTATCTATTGCTATGAATTGACATATATGCGGTTTAGGCTCAACCTCTTTGGTCTTCTTTTTTTCATACCGATGAGCTTCCTCAGTCTTTCTCCTCGGTTCTTCAACTAGTTCCCCAGTATGAATTCCACTTCTTGTGGTAATTACCTTGCAATATGCTCATTACCATGTTGCTTAGTATTTTCAGTATCGTTAGGGAGTGATCCTGGTAATCGACTATTTAGAACATTAGCCATTTGTCCCGTCTGATTCTCGATAGACCTTAATGAGGCAGATTGGCTCGCCATATATTATTTCATCATGGTAGATTTTGGAGTTTGGTTTGAAGATTAGCTTTGGTAATTCTGCCTTCGCTATTGTTGATCAACAAATTTATGTGTCTGTGGCTGTGGCATTTGATTATGTTGTGTATAATGTTGCAGCTGATATGATGGATTGTTGACTTCTGTTGATGATTGAAATTTGGATTGTTGACTATCATTCCAAGTACAAGATTGGGAGGGATTCATGAAATTTGGATAAAGTGATGATGCGACTTTTTCCAAAAGCATTACCATTTCAGTCAATGCTGAAATCTTAGATGCCATAAAGTTGAAAGCTTCAAAGTCTACTACTGCAGTACCATGTCGACCAAACATATTGCTCGTATTAGGATGCTTTACTGAGGCATCAAAACCATTTGAGTGCGAATATTTAACCTATTATAAAACATCTCCATTTAAGTCAAGTGTGGGAATCCATGCATAGGACACGTTCACATCAAATCTTTAAATCTTTCCCATGCTTCAAGCAAGCTTTCATCGTCCATCTGCTTGAATTAAGTTAAATCGTTTCGAAGCTTAGCATTCATATTCAGTGGGTTAAATCGCAACAAGAACTTCTACGCTAATTTATTCCAGGATGCTATAGCACCTGGTGGTAGTGAACTCAACCAAATTTGTGCTTTTTCACGCAATGAATAAAGAAATAGCTTCAGCTTCAGTGCCTCATCCGGAACACCTTACTCAATAAAAGAATCGGAAACCTCTATAAAAGCCCTCAAATAGGCTCTAGGGTCTTCGACAATATAATCTCCATATTGTCCCATAGATTGTAGAATTTGGAACATAATCGGCGTTAATTTGAAATTCCCAACATTAATAACTGGCATCACATTACCCGGATGCAATCATCTAATTTCGGCACCACATACTCACGAATATGCCCTTTACTATCATCTACATTCTGATATGGTTGTCTAGTTCCGATGCCAACTGGAAACTCATCATTTTCTCCATTCTGTAATGGCGTAAAATATAATTATCTCATCCAACCATAACAGCTTCACGTCGGCGTCTCTGAAATGTTCTTTCAATCTTTAGATCAAACGACTCTAAATCATCATCGCCTCAGGGCATACACTAGTAAAAAGAGAAACTAAGAATACATACAAAAGAAAAAAACAAATAAACAAAATTAAAAGAACTCTAAATGAAACCAATGCTCCCCTGCAATGGTGCAAAAACTTGATGTTACGAAATTGATACAACATTCAACGCAAGTGCACGTGTCACATATCAAGAAATAAAGTTGAAACTATGAGAGTTTCAACTGTTGAACCCACAGGGAGAAAATTGTTATCATTAGAGTTTTTAACAATATGATTTACCAAAAATCACGGGATGCTAGAAATAAAGTAATAAAATCAATAACGAAAAACACTAGTTCATGCTGCAACATTTCATAAAACAATTGGTCAACTATCGAATCAAAGGATTTAATATTGATTAACATTGATTAAAACCATTTAAAATACTTTAATAACTTTCATCAATTAAAGGTTCAAACTATTTACAATACAAATCAATTGGCTGCACATTTTTCAGTATACCCATGCTACTCAGAAAAACCAATGCTCATAAACATATATAGCAATTCGAATAAAGCTATTTCTAGATTAAAACAAAAATGCTATATATCTAATTGTAAATATTTCTTTTAACAATCATGAAGTTCAAAGACCATAAACTAAGTATCCAAGTAAACACAAAATAAAGAAGTTCATAATAAAAATCAAACAATAATTTAAACATTCAATCACTCCCTCTCTCAATAGAAGACATTGAGTGGTGATCTGTTGACCACTGAAGCTCCTTGGAAAGTTTCTTTCGTGTTGTAGCAATCCATGGAAAAATACTTAGGCTTACATGGCTTGGAAAGATTTAATGTGGAAAATGTTACTTTGGATCTTTCACAATCGTCACACTTTTTGCACCCAAGTATGTTGCTTTTATAGCTTAGATGAGAATTTCATCGCCCAATAGGAAATGTTCACATTTCAGGTATTATCTAGCCACATGACAACTACCCAAGCCAGCTGTCCCAATCCAAAAGTTTCTCATAACCATCTTGAGCTTGGACGACTGCTACAACATTCGATCAACATTTCCTTCAATGATGTAGCATTAGTGCAACAGTTGTCAGCAATAAAAATAATTTTAGCCCTTAACAACCTACGATGCTCCTATCATGCAAAGTATGTAAAATTGAGTAATTGTGATCATAAAATGCTCTTAAATATGCTTAAGTTCAAACTAAACCTAGGTGAAAAAGTCTACTAAAGATAACTCTTTTGGTGAGTTATTAGTAGGGATATGCATAACTTGAATTACGTGCTACCTACTTAGGGTTCGATAGTTCTATCGCTATATTCTGAGTCTCATGCTTCCCTAAGTCTTCTACTAAGAGCCTTGCCATGAGTTTACAAATATTGGGTCTCTAACAGCAATATCAAAATGACAAAAATGTAATAAGCATGATACATAACCAAACATCAAATATACATATATTTATTAGCATTGCCATCAATACATGCAAATACCTTAGCACTGGTGCTAAAGTGCCTCAGAATTGATACGAAAGTGCATTCACACTGATTCTAAAGTGCTTTAGTATTACTGGCATATAACTGGATATTTCACATATATATACTTTAGACTATCGTCATGCATAAAAGTAGCTCGAGTGTCGTTATTATTTATCGAGCAGCAACATTGGCATAAGTCTTTTGGAATCTTAAATCATAAGGTTCTTATGGTTACCACACATATTTTATTATTATCTTATCTTTATTATCATTTACAATACAAGTAGGTGAGAATGCTCATTCACTACCTAGTATTTCGATTGTTCTCTCTCATAGAATATTATGAAAAAGCTTAACAAAATTTTAGTATCTTATGCCTTTAAGGCTATTCATAATCATTACTACCCATGCCCACATAAATCCCAAGGGCCGCATAACACTGACACCGCTAACCCACTCTTCGTGAATGTTTGGGCCTTGCACCCTAGTTAGCACTTAAAGTGTCTCGTTCACTGGCAATGCCCTATTAGGGAAACTATGGTAACCTGACTTTACCCTACAATAACTGGAATTTCTAAAGAGAGGTTATCCTCTCACTAGTAGATATACAACTCTCTCTTTACTTAAGGACACTTTAGTTACTTTGACTCAAGAGAAGTCTCTACGCAATCCTGATTCAATGATAATCACTAAGTTTGCTGATCACTGGTTGTACTATTTTCTAACCCGACACCTGACTTGGGTTCAACTCTGAGTAGTGACGCTTTTATCGTACTTCCCTTCAATACCCCTTGAACTAAAAGGGATGACTTACACTTTTCGGGTTCACTGATATTCTTAAAGCTCATGCTTTTCACTATTACTGATTCAGACTCATTCTTTGTACTATTTGTATGTACTTCCTCAACAATGATCCACGTTCTCAACTATCCATATGCATACTTGACTGAAGATATCTTGGCGTATTACACATAATATGGTTGCATCAATTGTAACCCATTTTTAAATACCTTCTTTAGTACTTATTCTAGTGTTTTTCACATATTTGATCCCATTTATGAACATATTATGGGTCTAGGGCCTTCTGGAAACATTTTAGGCCTTTTTAGACATTTTGGGTAGAGGTTTTGAAATCACCTTAGGGGGTTTCGAAACCTCTGTAATAGATTGCCCTGTTTATTACGAGAAAGCTCTGTAAATCACTCTCAAAACTTTCCCAAGGTCCCCAAATATTTAATAAAGCTTATGGAGGTTATTTAGGGTCATATAGCACTATATAACACTATTTTTTTAACAAAAAATCATCCATGGTAAGAACCAAAGATAAACCCTAATATACCCAATTACTCAAATCTTCAACAAGCATTATGTTTTATGGAAATCATGACACCACAAAGGATTAAAAATACACTACCTTGTGTTTGAATCCCAAAATTTAGCTTATTGCTTAGCTACACTCCTTTCCTTGGTGATTTGGATAAAACCCCCCACTTTACTTTAGCTATGATTAAACCAAGACTTTGATTCTTTAAACTATGTTGCAAGGGATATTAAGAATGAAAATGAAATAAGAAAAAGGTTTAAGACCTTACATTGGAGCTATGGCTACTTAGAAAATATGAAGGATGAAGAAATGAAGAAGAAAAATGAAGATAAGAGAAATATGATGAGATATAAAGCCCTCATCTTTGTAAAATAGGGAAATTACAAAATCAATCATTCCTTATTTTTTCTACAATTTAAAATCCTCTTTTTATGGTAAATTAGGCCTAAACCAGACCCAATTTAGCCCAACGGCTTTACTTATGAATTTTACGATGTCCACTTATCTCTCAGTTAAACCTAAAACTACTAACCCAAATTTTGGGGTGTTACATTAAAAGTTTTAGAATTTTTTTATGAAGAACTCTTGCATGCCTTAGTATGAATTGATATTAATGAACGTGAATGATAAATGAAAGTGTAAAAAGCTTAAATTAAACTCCTTTATGCTTATTGAATATTTTGAATCATTAAAAAATGCTAAAGCATAAATTGTAGAGGAACACTCCGCTTTGCATTGTTTTTGCCTGAAAAACCCCTTGAATAAATGGAAAAAATAGCATATGAGTGAATGAAATTAGTCACGAGATGACTGTACCTAATAGGATAGGGGATAAGGTGTTTTCTCCACTTCATTTTCAAGTTTAGGACAATAGGTGTGATGAGCTGACTCCCCTCATAGCAGTGAAAAAAATTGTTAAGGTAATGGGAGTAAACATGTGCTTAAAGGTTAAACAGTTACTAAGGTAGAACAGAGAACTTGATTAGAATTTTCTAACTTTGTTAAGCATAGATTGGATGCAATTATACACATACATACAAAGAACCTATTCCTATGGAAAAGTTCTTAAAATCTTGATATGTCAAGTATATTTAAGGCAATATTTCTGAGGACTGAAACTTTGCCATTACATGTCTTTGTGTTAAACTATACCATAGCATTTTCACTATTAACTACTTCTCATTTCTTAAGGAATAACAACATCTTAAGTGTTGGGGTATGTTAACCCTATAAAAATGGTATATTCGTACCATTTTACTTAGGTTATTATTTGATTTAAAGTTTATTTAATTGCATATAGATTCATGATAACTACGTAAAAATGACATATTTAGGGCCTTTTCACTTATGTTATTGACTATCTAAAAGCCCATATAGGATCATATAGATACATTTAAGAGCATATAGTTGCATGTGGTGGAAAAATATTTTGTCACGGTATTTTATTTTGTAAATGGTGCTCTGTTATGGGGAAGGTGTTTGTTTGATGATATGCAGGATTTGGGAGAAATGATAAGAAAATGGGAAGCGATGTGACATGATGAGACTATTGAGAAGAATGCAAACCCCGAATCGGATGGTATTTCGAAAGCGAATAAGATGAAAGAAGATATTTTTCAGAACCAATTGTCCTTATCTTTATGTTCCCTCTACCACCAGTCACCCGAAAGAA